ACCTTATTACTACGGTTTATGTAATATCCTGTAAAAAAAAAGGTGGATACAAGTCTCCCTATTTGAGTGTCACCCGGTTTAAAATCGTGGATCTCGAGGAACACACGAATTCATTCGACCAATCAAAAACGTGGAACTAGTTCGAGAGTCTCGTTCAGGTGGCGCGTCGACGCGCCAAAACACAGCTCCAGATTATCACGCGTAGTATTACTATATATACACGACCAATCAAAAACGTGGAACTGCTTCGAGGGCCCTCCGCTAAGGTGGCGCGCCGAAACCAAAGAAAAATTGCCTTCATCAAAAACAGGCTCATTGGCAATCTCCCTACTCATCTCTGGTATAGACTACGCGATCCCTATTTCAAACTCTTTGAAAAAATGCCGCTCGAATAGACGAAGAGGGACTGAGGTAGCGGCCAGTCCTGCCACTATAGGCAATTACGTGTCCCTAAAATATACTAGGGATGTTCTATTTTCTTAAAAGAATCGATTTTTGAATCGATTCTGAATCGAATTATACAAATCGATTCTGTTAAAAAATCGGTATCAAAGAGTCGATCTTGTAAGAATCGATCTAAAAAATCGTAAACAAATTGTTTATGTATAATTAAAACAAGCACATATAATTTTTATTATATTAATACATATTTATTAATTTTGAACTTCAATTGGTTTTAGTTTTTTGATTCTTAAAATTAATTTATACATTAAATAGGTAATTAAAGAATCAGGCCTTCCCGTTTTAGAAAATGGCATATTATTAAGGAAAGTATTTACGAAACACAGATTTTCTAAAGCATACTTATACTATTTAATTTTTAATACAAAATTACTTATTTTATTTCTAACTGCCAATCTTTCATAGATAACGAATTTAGAAATAATAACTGTTGTAGATGTTCGGGCGAATTTCTATTCGTAGATTCTGTTACAATATTGCCAGCCCTTGTGAATAATCTCTCTGAAGGTACTGACGTTCCAATAACCGCTAAATATTTTTTGGCAATAACGCTAAGAATTGGGTATGCTGATGAGATTTTGTTATGAACAAAACTTCCTCTGTCAGCAAGCAAAAAAATTTCAAAAAAGAATCGGATTTTTCGATTCTTGGGGTAAAGGATCGATTCATAAATAAATCGAATAGCATAGAATCGACTTATAAAATCGATTTTTTGACCAAAATAATCGATCTTTTAAAGAATGTAATCGGAATCGAAGAACCCTAAAATATACCGTCCTTCTGAAAGTGAGAGCTGAGGTGTGACTATGTAACAAGGACGCTTTGAAGATTGAAGGAAGCCTTCATCAAGGCGTCCTTCATCCTTGAGATAAGGACGGACTATGAATAAGGGTATAAGCCGCTGATAATTACTCCCTAAAGGGGGTGATAACTGATTAAGGAAAAAGAAGAAAATAGAATGGACTAAGGAACCCCGAACCTCTCATTACCAGGCGAGTAAAAGTAACCGAAAATAATAAATAACAAGATTTTAATAGTACATTATGCAACAAGGGAGTAAAGTCGTTGATTATTCCCGCGAGTGAGAGTTTAGTGCCCGAGCGAAGCGAGGGCAGTAAATCACCCGACGGAATAACCGACTTTACTCTCGTGTTACATATAGTTCTTTATTCACGACTAAACTATGTAGCCACTTTATTTCTTGAAAAGTGGGACTTACGGAAATGTGGGACTATGGAAATATACGTTTTTTCAAATATTCAAAAAATTAAAAATGTTTAAATTTTTCACCTTTTCAAAACTTTCAAAAATTTTCAAAATTTATATAAATAAAGTTCATTATTCCCGCAAAATGCGGGAGTAAAGTAAATTTGCGGGAAAACCAAATATGCGGGAATAAAATGCTACTTTAGTCCTGCTTTTCAGGGAATAAAGTGGCTATTATAGTTCAGTCGCGAATAAAGTATATTTTACCCCAAAGCAGAGTTCAGCGCACATTCTGCAAGGGTTACAATCATTTTGATACCACTTTTACAGTAATTAACTAAAAACTGAAGGAATAATTCAACCCGAAAATTTGGATGAACATTCGAAAAATTCGAATCGGATTACTTTTTCAGTTTCCATTTAATTGTTGCGAAAATGATGTCGAAATTATTTTTAACTTTGCAAAATATGGGCTGAACTCCGCTTTGGGGAGTTCTATATCCAAATTTTGTTATTTACGATTGTCGTAAAAATTTTATTCGCATGGTAAAGAAAAGGTCTCGAACCTCGTTGAATTTTGAAACTTACGCTGCACCATGAACTGTGAACCTACAAAGAGAAGTAAGTTACATAAACCTGGGGATACAATTGTATTTGCATATAATTCCATCTGTGTTGAAAACACATACGTGATACAATGATCGGGAAACTAAATTTCTGAACAGACTGGGAAAGCTACGAACGGTAACAAGGGAAAGGAACGTGATGTGCACTTGAAATACTTACTATACAAGCATCGTGGATTGTCCGCGCTCCACGCCATGACTGAATTTCGTGGACGAGCAGGAGTGCCGTTGCTGCGTTGCTGTGACAGATGGAACACTGAATAGTGAAATTACCTAATAACGATCAATAACGAAAAGATTCACATCATCACAAAAATAGTAGAGTTTACATTTCAATTTAGTAAGCTCCCCTCATTGTTTACTGAAAATTTTGTCAGTTTCGAGGCAGAACAGTTTATACTTACACAGTGTGAATTAACATCTAGGGAACGGCGAAGAAAAAAAGGATTTAAAAAATGGAGGTGTGTTCTTAGTAAATTTATATCTTACGACTAAGATTAGAAGTTAAATATTTAGATATCGTTTGATTAAGACATTTTCTTTTCACTCATTAGTTCTTCAATATTCTACTGCACTTCAAATCAATAAGTATAATATAGTCTAATTCATAGCTTCTATGTATATTTATGGATATAAATATTTCATAGTAAAAGGTTTTTTCTATATAAATTAATTGTATGCTATTGCTTAAAATTTATGTATTGTATTCATACCTGAAATTGAAATGTCTATGTTTCAAATTCGATACACATTGACCATTCCCATACTCAAGTTATTTTCCATGTAATAAATAAACATATTTTTATTCGATATGTAGATGGATGAATGTTCTGCTGGTGGGGATTCTGGTGCTGAAGAAGATGAAGATGAAGATTCATCACATGGTTCAAGGAGTAATAGTAGCAGTAGTAGCAGTAGTGGAAGTAGTACATCAACAGGCAGTGGAGAAGAAAGTGGTGAGGAACACTGTAGTAGCAGTTCAGAAAGTCATAGTTCTGCTGATGATGATGAAGAAGGAACAGAAAGTTCACAACATCCAACAAAAGAGGATTCAAATACTTTGGTAACAGGACTTTAATTAATACAATGATAGTTCATATTTTAGCATATGTTTAATAGTTTTTGCTTTTACATAGAGATGGGAGATATGTGTAGCTGCTGGGACCAGGGTAAAACTACCACAAGATCTTTGCGAACATTTCTCAATATTTCGGGAATTCTTGGATTATCCTCGTGTTTGGCAAGAGTATCTAACTGAAAGTCAGCGTGAATCCCTCCGTTGCCTATTACCAGCGTTTCCCATAGATTGTGATGTAGATGTTGAATGTGACAAGACACTTCGTATGCTATTTCATAGAGAGAATCAGAGGTATAAAACCAGTAATCATTTAGTAAAATGATAGTATTTAATAATATTTTTGAGTTAGGTTTGGCGTTACCACATTAGATTCTTTCCATAACCATCTATCTACGGGACACTTTCGACCAGATATTAGAAGGATGCGCAGTTTAGTACGTAAGGCACAACAAAGACGATTACTTTTTGAAGAACGTAAACGTACTTATGAACTTGCTGGCCAACTATTGAAATCGCGAGAGTGCTTATTGTCAAATGCATATAAGCAGGGTTTTAGTCAGCCAATTCATCGAACTATATCTAAATTTCAATGGCGGAAGCCAAAACCTGCATTGGGTAAGAGAAAATTCCGTTTTACGGTTAATAAGACAATATTTGTATACATTTGTTGTTATGATATATTAATGAATATGGCATTTAATAGTTGAAGAAAAAACTCAGCTGCGTTACATAGAAGAGTTGGATGCATTGAAGGCAGAGCTTGGAGCTAATACTACGTTTTCTGTTGACACAACTTCTGAAAACGACGAGAACTATCCTCATCAACAATATGGAGGAGCTAAACAAAAGAAGAAAAAGCGTACCACCATGGGATTACAATACATGCCTATCAGAGGTTTGCAAATGAGTCATGAAGATGAAACTGTTCGTCCAGTGTTTTCGACACTACAGCGATCACAGTACAGTTCAAATCGATCGTTTCTCCTTCGGGAACAAACAGAGGACACTTACCGAAATATGTTAATAACACATAAGAAGCGAAGAGTACGTCGTGATGTATGTGATGCTTTAATTGGGAAGAAAAAATACAAATAATTTTATCTAGGTATACATAATTAACTTATGTATTTCAGATACATCCCGAGTTAAATACACAGGGCATTTCACTCGCTGATTTAGCTCAAAGAGCTCAGATAGGTCAAAAGCACAAAATTTCGCTTGGGAACTCCATGCGTGTTTCGAGTGCTAAAAAGAAAATAAAATTGGAGCAACCTTCTCTCTGTCCACCTCTCGTACCGAAGTTTGCCAATGCCAATTCAATTAAGCTTGAGAGTGACAACAGTGACTACTCTCATACAACGGATGATAATAACAAACATTCCATGATCTTGGAAGCGGATCATCGAATAATGATCTCTAGTACCATAAAAACTGAACCCATAGATGCATATGAAGTGCAGCAACCAGTTAAAAACAAAATGTATTACTTCATTCTTAATTATTTTTTATGCAAAACATAGACTTCAGTGTAGGCATTTTCAATAATGTCTAAACCGTATTGATGTAGCCATTTAAATTCATTTTCTAATATCGGAATATAAAGGACCGCGTATAAAACTGTTAAACACATTTTTCTCAAAAGTAAACCCTACAACGATCAGCAGATTTAATTGTTATATAGTAAATGTGGTAGTTTCTTAATCGTTATACTATATAGTTGTATTACGTATCATATTTTACCTATCGATTGAATCTATCAAATGTAATTAATTTCTCCGTGATTCTTCCCACATCATTCAGAAGTTAAAACAAATATTTATATATTTGTATATATATATATATATATATATATATATATATGATAAAATGTTTCTATCTTTTTCTGTTATTCAGAAGTCCTACTATTGCAAAAAGTAATAAAAACTTAATCTTACCCACGGCAAATATTAAAATGGAAACAGAAAATCTTGAATGTGAGTCGAAGGTCAAAAGTGAGGTTGCAGTTGGAGTAAACGAGGATAAACAAACAGAATCAAAGGAAAAAGAAAACGAAAAGAAGCAACTTGATTTGGATGATATCGACATGATGGAAATTCCAATACAACTTGATGACGGAATCGACATACTCGAAGACGTCAAGTATGTATACAATTTTTGCTACTTTAAAAGTTTCTCTCCAAATGGTTTTGTGAGAAATATTAATATAACACTTATGGTAAATTAGATGTGAAGATGAAGGTGTAATCTCTTTACCGGAAAAGGAAGTATCGATTGGTGAGGGTATCAGTATTAATGGCGATGGAGAACTAATGCAGGAAACCCACACTTCTTTCTTCTCTCTTATACGGGATGCATTCGTCTCGAAAGGAGAATATCGTATGAGCACCATTGAAATGAGAGACGCAGTGATGCAGTGGCAAGGAAATCCAATTTCTCCATTGAATGATTGGTGCGAGTTGGGATTTAATTTTATTTCCAGCACATCAGTGTTTTCAATTTTATTTCCAGCACATCAGCGCATCTTTGTTTTCTTTTTCAAATTAAGGTATTCCTTGGCACCATCTTGGCCAGCCCTCGTACCTCTCGCTCTCGGCTTTCTTGCAGGAGAATTAACTTACTCGCACGATGGGGAACAGCAATCTGATGGAGAGCAGGAGTTTGTACCTTATTTGGAAAATAAGGGCCGGGGTCTGTATGCTTGGATAGGCGCTGGCAGAGATTCAGATTCTCGTCTTGCCACACTCTGCACTCGTTTTCTCTTGCATAGGTAATACGAAGAATAAGGATTTTTCCAAAATATTAAAAAAATTTTAATTTTTATCGTTATTAAATATTTATTTTTTTTTTAAATGAAACTGACCCAATGAATATGCTTATTTCTCTAAGGGATTCTCTCGGGCCTCCATACACTTCGACTGTAAGTGCTGTCCTTCCAGTGAAGCAGCCGTTACAACAAACTTCATCTAATAGCAACAATAACAACAGCACCGGTAGCGGAAGTATCATTGGAGGAGGCGGAAGGGTTGGAAGTCCTGTGATTGATTCTGTTAATCCTGATGCTGGGTCTGTTGGTGCTTTGGGAGAATGGGAACCGCCCCGGCCTTTATGTCCGACTGAATGGAAAGTTTGTCCTTCGACGCTTGAAGAACGCGAAGAATTTCGGAGGCAGGAACGCATGCGTTATGCAGCACCTCATAAAGCATTTACCTATCGCATGCATGGCTATGCGTCTGTTGTTGGACCCGTAAAAGGCATTTATCAGCACAACGTTGGTATGTTATGATTATTATGTTCATGCTTGTTTAAAATAAATGTTAAATGACCTAAGTATTTCTTGTAGGTTCAGGTGTAAATAAGCCACGAGGTCATTCATTGCTGGTAGCCGAGAGACCGAACTTTGTTACGATCTTGGCGCTAGTGCGAGATGCTACTGCTCGTCTCCCAAACGGTGAAGGGACTCGAGCTGATATTTGTCAGTTACTAAAAGACTCGCAATACATCAGAGATCAAAGTGACAGCGAGGGTGGTCACGATAAGGAAGGATATTTACATTCAGTTGTATCCGGTGCCTTGGATAGATTACATTATGAAGCAGATCCATGCGTTAGGTATTATCCTCGACGTAAAGAGTGGTTGTATTTACATCGAGCACGTTCCGAGTCAGAATTTGGTTGGTATCTGTTACTGTTGCGCTTTTGAATAATTATTCAACTTTGAACACTTCCATCAGGATTTTAAATATGTATTTTTTACAGAAATGTATCACCAGCAATTGCAAGGGGTGGCTAAGAATAAGAAAAGTATCGGGGGTGCTACACGAAACAAATCAATTCAACCTATTGCAAAATCAATCAGTGGTGGTAAAGAGCAACCTGTCAACAGTAACAAAGAGAGTACGCCGAAGAAAGAGCGAAAGCCTCCTACACAGGCTCAAACTACGATCGTTAGGTAATTTCCTTTTTTCTTTATATCTAATAATCTTCACTGGATTTTATTCTGTCATTTTTAAACTCCATGGTCCGTGTATTCGCGCTCGGTAATAATTTTCTTTTAACTGGCAGCTGTCAAAATCTTTCGACCGTATGTATTTGTGTAAGTCGCGTAATTTATTTTTGATTGCAAATCGTCTATTTCCACCTTAACATTCTCGCCACTGGTGGAACATAAATGTTACACTTTTGTAATGACAAGGGTGTGTACAAGTAATGTTACATCGGCAGCGAGAGTATTAAATATTCCTTACGAGCAAAAAAAATAAGGGAACAAATATAATTCAATGTTGCGGATTATCGATTTTGAACCTTGTCTGCCATCGGATCAATTTTGCCAACCGTCAAAATTTCATAATCACGAAATATTGCGACTGATAATTCGCATAGTTTACGAGTGAGACCAGCTTTTCGTAGTTTCTCGCGATAAATCGCGAAATATAAACATATGTCAATCCATCGTTCCGATGTCCAAGTACCCAAAACTATTTTCCTTGATACTTAGATGTTTCCAATCAACGATTTCGATGTCCACAGATACTTGGCATCTGTTGTTCGCTATATCCGAATTCTTCCAATTATCCTTTCGTATGTTCAGGTGTTGCTGATTACTCGGACTATCGCTTTTTATATCCTGGTTGACCTAATCATCGCTTTCAATAACTTGATATTCAAAATCTTTATTTCATATGCTTAAATAACCTCGTTTAAAATGTTCAAAAGTTCTCGATTGTCGTTTTTGATTGCTCTGATGAAATAGTCCGTGTTATTGTTTTCAATGTCTTTATACTTTTAATTATTGTTCCTTATGTTCAAATATCTCGTTTAAAACATGCTAAACTCTATATCATAAATGATTCCTAATGTCCAGGTATTCTTAATCCTTGATGTAGATACTTAAATACTCCTGAACCATTATCCTTAATAAAATACTTGTTCACAAACACGATTCGGAAAATTTCGAAATATTTCTGTTAACGCTGAAGATACGTTCTCGGTATTTAGAGCGCTAAATGCAACATTGCTAACGGAGATATATGTGGCAGCTAGCTCGGTAAATTGGGAAACTACTTTTTTACTAAACGTTTGTAAAATCACATTTTGAACGAAAAAGCGTTGACCGGGGTATCATTAATCGGCGTCTTAAGAAGGTTCGGTCATGACACATAATCCAAGATAAAATTCTGCATTAGACAAAAACAAAATCTTGGCCTATGCAAAATTTGAATATGATTTAGTTTTAACGTACAGTTTTTGAGATATAAAAAATAGAAGTGTCAATTTCCATTATATAAATATACTCAACCTGTAATAATGAATAACGTTCAAATTAAATATTTTCATTTTCATACGGTAGAATGTAATAATTTTTGACTCCAATATCGAGGTTATTTTGTATTTTTTCCCATTTATTTTTTAACTAAAATTCTTGGAACGATTATTACTCCTTGTTGAAATTGTGCTGCCCTATTACTATTATGATTATCATCACCGAACCTTCTTAATGTATACTTAAGCGTTTGTAATATGTTATATTGTTCGTCTAAGAACTATTTTATCAATTGATTATATTGTCCTTCAGAAAGGAGCAACGGAAACTTGAAGAAAAACTTATTATGGTTCAACCTACGACGGTGGAACAAACGTCAATCAGTACTGGGACTACTACAACGGGAACTAACGCTGCTATGGTTTCGCCCATTACCTTTTCTAATACTTCTACGCTTGAAATAGCGCCGACGATTTCGACTGCTAATTCTGCTTCAATAATAGAACGAGATAATTCGATTCCAATAGAAACGAAGCAGCAACCGCAACATCAACAACAACAACAACAACAACAATTGACACCATCACCGCTAACTAAAAAAGTGGCAACGACCAATATCGGTGGGAAGCCCGTTACCGTAGTGAAAACAAATGCACCACAAAGTCTACTACAATCCAATCATCAACATTTTCCTCATCACCAAATTCAAGTATCGACATCGGCTGGGTTGCAGACAATCAGACTTTCTGGACATTCTGTGCTTCACTCTGCTCAAGCAGTCGCTACAACTAGTACTGCGAACGTAGCTAGCAATACCGCAAATGTTACCGCAATTTTCCCTGCGTCTAAAATTCAAACACAACAGCAACAGCAAAACGTGATAACGAATCAAGCTGGAAAGAGTATTCTTCAGAATAGTAATGTAAAACAACAAACACAACATGCCTTACCTGGAAAAACGTTACTTGCTTCTCAAATAAAGCTAGTTAGTTCGGGGCAGATAAAATCCTTGTTGACAGGGCATGGTCTTCAGGGACAGACTATATTTATTAAGCAATCTTCGTCGCCGTCTGCAGGCCAACAACAGCAATTACAACAACAGCAGTTGAAGGTATGTTAAATCATGATTCAGTATGTATTAATATTAAAGTTGTACCAAAATAGATATATTTATACTTATATCTCGATAATAGCAACAACTTCAACAGCGCGTTGTAGCTACCCAGCAACAGCAGTCTCCGAGTATGCAAAGAATAATTGCGCAAATCGGTGGAAAACCAATTGCAGTGCAGATACAACAATCACCGCAACATCAGCAGCAACAGCAGCAACAAAAGATTCTAGCAAAAGTTTTAACCAGTGCAGCTGGTGGCCAATTAATATCTGTGGAAAGCCTCTTGGCTCAAAAAGGATTAAAACTTGCCACAGCTACGGGCCATACAAGCCAACTGAATAGACAAGGCAAACAAATCATTCAGACGCAATATCAAGTACGTTCCAGTTTTTAATATCATTTTCTACTCGTCTATAAAGATGATACCATAAATGGTCTGCTTTTGCAACCACATAATTACTTACGTTCTTAATAAATTGTAATTGCAGGTTGTATCACAAGCTCAAGCTGCTCCAGGGCAGTCAAAAATTATTGTAAGTTCACAACAACAATCCCAACAGCCACAACAATCACAAACCGTAAGAATGGTTACAGCACAACTAGCGGGCAAACCTATAGTTTTGGCAAGCGGTAATAAAGGAATGGGAGTCGGTGTCGGTGTGAATAGTACGGGTGGGGTTACGTTAGGAAAGCAGCAATCTGGTCAACAGCAGCAAGCACAGACACAGCCAATTATTTTACCAAGCCAATTACTAAACATCAAAACTTTACATGGCCTGAAAGTGATTCCAACACCTGCAGGATTGAAGACTACCGGTGCAGCGGTTTATGCCCGCGTCATTGCACCGACAACAATGTCGGCACCTTCAACCCAGTCTACGGTCTCGCAGGCTCAACAACCGTTACAGACCCAATCTCCAAGAAACAGTCCTTATGGTACTCCCTGACAGGAATAATTTCAAAATTATTCTTTTCTTCCTTATTTATTCTTGATTCACATTATTGGTACGTCTTCGTGGGATGTTTTCTTTCTGTGACATAGCACTGAATATACATATAGGATAATGATTACTCTTTATCAAAGTAAACTATTTTCTGCTGTTTTCATGTTGAAGAGAAATGGAAAGAAATAGTGGGTATTGAGATATTCTGTTTATTTTGTGCATTCTTAAAAAATTGAGAGTGCTTTATTTCCTGACTGGATTATCTGCAAGTGACAGACAGATAAAGCATTAAAATGAAATTAACATGCAAGTTGAGGCTGCTGCTCAGTGAATTTTAATAATAAAATTTCAATAGTGAGAAAACTGCAATGTTATTCTCTACTATTTATTATTACATTATATGAATACGGAATGTAAGTTGGATTTATGCTTCATAAATATCTTCATTTCGTGAATAATTTTTATGAAGGATAGAGTATTTTCTATCTTGTTCAATTACATAAATGTCCCCATTATGTTAGCTCCATTTTAGAATGAATGTAAAATTAAAACCTTTTAGATATTTAAGCATAGTTCATAAACCCTTTTCTGTCATAGGAGAAAAGCGGTAATACCATTTTGTAAAAATAAATACTGGGAGAATAACGATGTAAGAATATTTCTCATTGTGACGTCATTACGCTTACGTTTGTTGCTACGATTCTGTTCGAATTGAGTGAATACACACCTTAAGGCGAGAGAACATATAGGTACTCAAAACATTAAAAAAGCACTTCAAAGAAGAAAGTATGTAAAATTATTATAAAAGTTGCTATAAGAAAGTGGCTATGAAAACCATCACGACCGGTGTGACAATATTGCTCCTATCCGACTATAAACTCTTAAATCTCGAGGGATTTAAAATCCCAGGGTTAGATCTCAATTAAGTTAGGTTCATCGAATCTCAATTAATTTTTATTTTTGTGAATGTGTAAAAAGTGAATATTAGACATTCTTTCTACGACTCCAATACATAATTGCAAAAGTATATAATATGCAGCTATAAATTAAATACTTGAATTTTTTTCAATACATATAAAAAGTAACTATTGGTCGCGAGCTGATGTGGAGAGAAGGTGAGTGTAATGATTGGGTACGTTCACACACCGCATTTAAACCAATTTAATTACTACTGGGCTCGTATTCTTGAGCCTGCCTTAATCATTCTCGTATACGTCTTTCTACTTCAAAGTATTGACTGGTCTCATGTGAGATTCACGAGAACGCTTTGAGAATACGGACTAAAGTCCTGATTTATAGAGTGTCGTGAATTATGTACGTCTCTGCTTTAAAGAAATGTTTATCGTTCGTCACTTCCATTACATAGAATGGTTTAAACACAGCGTGTAAGCGTATCAAATGGAGTTGCAGTTATTCATATTTTTCATATTCCAAAATAAAACTATATAGAAGCAAACTCGAAATTAGATTTAATTAAATCCACTTGAAAAGAGTAATCACTTTCAATAACCGTAGAAAATATATCCAAAAAGTCTTTAAACGAATTCGAAATCTGAGATTACATTTATTCATTACCCTGAAAGAACAAATATGCTACCTTTCGTTACAAAAAGTTGACAATCTTGACCTGACTTTGGCAATTCGAAATAAAAGAATAGTTTGAACAGTTTTGACCTTTTCATTCAGGTACTACAAATTGAGAATTGCGTTCAAGTATGTTGAAACATGCGTGTTGCTCCAATACCGGCACCCGGTCGATGCATCTTTTTATCTAACTTGCCCAGCTCTTATCTCATTACCATTTGGTTGTAGGCCATAAGTACCTCTAATGTTTTTTATATAAAATTGGATGCTTTTTCAGATTTTGTGAAAAAAAGTGCACCATTTTATTTAAAAAAGTGACGGTGACCTTCACTGTGCATCAACACCTCCACCGAAATAAAAAAAAGTTGGTCGCACTTAAAGGCCCCCTCCACACCGTACAACTTTTGTCTGGAACATTTTTTTGTGACGTCGATAATTACCGAGATATTTCAGGTGGTCAAGTTAGGTGAAACACCCGGTATATCTTAGGTGGGTGTAAAAATGTATAAAGTACGGTCATTCCACGAATCTTAGAGGCAGCCTTTTTAGAACCCTGGGATGCGATTGACTGATAATCAGTCCCTTTTTATGTTTGATTGCAGTATTAAAACATGCGTTTTGCATACAGATTGTAATGGGCCCTGAAATGATTTAATTTTTTAAGTACATAGTTGTGGCACTATACGTTTAATATAATAAGGTCACATCTCAATCAACAAATTAAGATGTATGCGTATGTGCCGTTCGTACAGTTTGAGAACAGATTACCATAAAGCGACGTTCAGAATAGCAAGCTGATGCGTTTTTATTAGAAAAGAAAAAACATAAATCTTGAGACATCACAGCATTGAAATTCTACTCAATCTTAACCTAACGTAGCGTTACGTTTTCTAACCGTTTTCTAAACCCATCAGAGCTCTGAGTGTTTAGCCTTGAAAAAATTTGGTGCGACACACCACTTTATGGTCCTCAAAACAGCCGTAACCCTGAAAAATATCAGACAGTTTTCAAAAGAACCACATGTTCTCAAAGTAGCCAATACGTAAGTGAAAATGTCTTCAAAGTAGATCAGTCTCAAATTTATGCGTATATGTTCAGGAGTAATGCACTAATTGAACTAGCTCGTCCATTTGATTCCTATGATATAACCACCTTCATAGTCTAGGCTGTGGACTAATTTAAAAAATGTGGTTCCGAACTTTGCTCACTTTTTAAAAAAATTGTTGATGTACTTGTTAAGATTAATATATAAGTAATACGGAAAATATCAGTACCATTTTTAGAGAGTGCTGTTCCACACAACACTGGGATATTAGCAATACGTCATACAGACGTCGTGAATTGCCACTACTGACATACAATAGACATCCGTAAATCTGCAAATGACAAGTCGCAGACCTCATTTTGAAATATGTTTGTTCCACCTACGAATGTCTTTCTATCCATCTTTTGCACATCCTACCTATCATTCATAGGATGTGCTTCTAACATCCATCTGACAATTTGCTTCACATGAACAGGATATTCTTATAAGGCAGTAGATAGCCCAGTCATCGGCCATGTACTGGTACCTACATCGAGAAGCCGTCCTCCTATGAGCATTTCTCGAAGGCAACATAACATATGAAATAATACAACAATAAAAATTAGACGTGCTAGAAATTACACGTGTGCTGATACGTTAAAAAAACATTCAGTGAATGTATGCACACTTTTTAAAAAATATAGAAAATAAGATAAAGCAAACAACCTATTGAATGGTAAGTAGTTAATAACTATATATTTTGTTACCATATAGAATATAAGATATGATACCTCGTTTTGACCCCTTTAAACTGGGATAACTTGAAAAGTATTGAAAGTGTTGAGCGAAGAAGTGAGATGGTTATAGGCAGAGATAAGAATGAGTTTTATATGAGCTTTATATAATTGTTAGTCGCCGAGATATTAATTATTTAATAAAAATACAACATAAGTCGTATGCAACTATAGTAATTGGCTGTAACCTTTGAGTGGCTTAATATAAAAAAAAATCGTTTCAATACTTTTGAGGATATCCCAGTTTAAAGAGGACAAGATGTAATCCTATTTCTTATTTATAGCAACAAAAGCAGCGGTCTTAACAAATGGTACTGATATTTCTTGTGTTACTGATGTTATTCCTAACGAGCAAATTAACAATTTCTTTAATCTGAGGATAGCTTGAACAATTTTGGTTTAATTGGCCTACTATAGCCTGGACTGTTAGGTTATAAAATACTTCTGAGTAACCCTGTATACGCAGTATGTGGATTGATAACATTTAGTTCTCAACAAATTTATCTGAATTTTAATTAACCATTTTTTCGTGTGCTTTTAAAATTCATTAAATGTACAACTTGAAGAAATGTGTATGTAAATGAGGTAGGTTCAAGAATGGCCCTCATGAAAATTTGATAGGCTAGAAAATACATAAGATGGTATTCTTAAGCAGAGACTTGTGTGCAAAGAATACAATTTACCAAAGATTTTTTTCCCGTATGACAAATATTTTCGTAATCTAATTGAAAATATTATAGAATGTTGATCTTAAAACATTTTCCATTTGAAATGTTATTACTCGCTGCACGTCTGCATGTATGGAGTAGATGAACAGCAACTTTAAATAAGTTTCAAAAAAATTACAACTGCAAATTACAACCTACAAATTTTAAGCACATCATGCTCAGAACGAGTTATTACTCAAATTTTACTTAAACGTAAAATATAATGTAAGCATGAACATAAATATTTATGTCAGTTTTGTAAATGAATTTCGGCAAAAAATGCTATGACCCGAAAGAACCATTTACACAATGAAAGCATCGGGAAATTGAGGATAACATTTCGTAATATTTAACGAGATATTTACAAATGCAATGAGATGATGGGTTTAAAAAAGGCGGTTCACTGAGACCCAATAGGCTTTCAGTGTTACGTTACATTATGATATAAATAAAGACTTACGTATAATAGATTATTAAATTAACTTTGCACTATAATCTAGATGCATTTTACTAAGAAATAGCGACGAATTATTAGGTAGTAAAAGCTACCGCGTCTTTGGTTTACTCATCATAGAGATGCCTAGTTTTATAAAAAAGAAAAAGCTTGTTAGCAATTTTCCAAGGAAATACATCTTGGAGATTACCGTTCCACAATGAATATAAAAAAAAATTCTTGGTATTATAACACTGTCTCTGAGTGAAGCTACTCCCTATCATGTCATATACGTAGCTCCAAATCCAATACAAATATTCAATTTTTTTTTTATGAACGTAAAGAACTGCTGATTAATTATTCTCTCAATCTTAGTATCAAATTCTTTCTTGTTTTTACACAAGTTCTTCGGTAGATGTGAAATGCTATTTACGTTTCGGAATTTCGTATATCTTGGAATATCTCAATTAAATTATTAACGCCAATAAGATAGCCATCTTCGTGATTCCCGACTTGCCATTCAGCATCATGGCGAATGCGGGGTAATTGTTGAGGCAGCGGTAATGTTTTGGCAAAGTCTATCATCCAAACGCCAGCATTAGTTGTATCATGAACAAAAAGAAGACTGGAACCAACAACTTCGTGGGATGCAAAAAATGGTGATGCTTGTAATGTTGCTCTGATAGCTTTAAGTCGTTGTAGGTATTTAGGAACAGCGTGTGTATAACCTTCGACGAAACGTTTGAGTGCCTCTGTAACCTGAAACAAGCAAATTGTGCGTTTACGAAAACTGAAAACACGTAGATTCTCGAAAATCACCAATAACTTTAAATTAACACATTACTTGCTGAATTGAGAATGACATCCATCAGACAAGTATGCCCTAGTTTAATTATACAGGGTTATTCAGTAGAAACGCACCACCTGAAGTTAGCCCGTCTACTTGATTTCTATGGTAGAACCATGTTCAGGTGGTGCGTTTCTACTGAATAACTATATATATTATGTCTGAGTAATTTAAGATTTTTGGAAATTTCAGATCTATTATTTTCCTTTCTATATATAAATATATATACAGGGTGTCCCAAAATTACCTGACCAACGGGGTATGGCGATGTTCGGGAGGCACCACTGATCACGAAAATGACCTTCCTTTTGTCCGGAAAGTCATAGTTTTTACATGGGAGCAGGTCAAAGTTGACCAATCATAGCGAGGCGTCACGAGAAACGTAGGCACCTACGAACTCTGAGTTTTCTTCCCTCGCTTTTGTTTCTTGTTTCTTGTTTCCAATAGGCATGTCTTCGGCTGATGTCATCCTGCCCGAAGCCACTGAGAAACAAAAGCGAGGGAAGAAAACTTAGAGTTCGTAGGTGCCTACGTTTCTCTTGACGCCTCCCTCTGATTGGTCAACTTTGACCTGCTCCCATTTAAAAACTATGACCTTCCGGACAAAAGGAAGGTCATTTTCGTGATCAATGGTGCCTCCCGAACACCGCCATATTCCGTTGGTCAGGTAATTTTGGGACACCCTGTATATATTCATACATATGAAACTACAAGAATTTACCTGCTCACGAGTTCGTGTCGTTTTAAAATCTTTGAAAGAACCTCCATGGGCTAATTTGATACCTTCCACACGAAAACCAAGTGTAGCTGTACTTGATATAGTTTCTCGCCATACCATATATCGTGGTTTTGTCACACCTTGTACTCGCCTTTCTTCCGCACTCGGTGCACTTGGATCGACTTGTATCATTTTCTCGTACATGTCTTTTCGTAACTGTTGGACAAGATAACATTTAAAACCAATTTACCATAAGTCGCTTGTATATAATAATTTACTTATCCATTTCTATCCATATATTTTTAAACTGTGCTGCAGTTGTTAATCTGCATAGCAGTGCACGACTTCGATATTGAAGGCAAATTGAGCGTTAATTTTTTAGAACTAAAGTTATTCTTTTTCTTAAGATTCCATGAAAAACAAAATTACAAATAAATTTCTTCTAAACACAGCACTTAGAAGAACAACCTTTAACACGTACCATAATTCTACAAGTGAATTAAAATTAAATGAAATAATGGTGTTAAACGATTTATTAAATTAAAAAGATTTGTATTATGTATGTGGAATATCAATATTATTACACGGTATGCGAGTCAAATTCAGATTTAAGTCAATTATTCAAATTACTGCGACTTAAACTATATTAAAATCTTTTAAAAATATGTGAAAAAAGTTTTATCTTGAAACGTGGAGTTCATAAGTAACGAAGAATACATTTGAAATAGCAAACTGAGGTACAAAATATCACAATGAATCAATATCGAATAGAAAATTAAGTAATAGTTTGAACTTTTCTTTCTTATCATTTTGTATTATTGTTAACATTTTTTTTGTGTCGCTGATAACAAAGAGGTTAGCACTCAATTTGATTGATTATCACCTTTTAAGTATCTGTTGTCTGTGGATTATAAATTATTGAATACCAGTTATCGATTGCATCTTACTTTGGGTCTTTCTTTAGCTTTGGCGAGTTCCGATTCGAGATAAGTCCGTACTCCGACTTTGCAATCCATGACACAAGGTTGTTCAAATTCACCAAGAAGATCCTGAAGCTGTAAGTAGGAGGATATCGTAGTATTTTTGTTCATATTATCCACTTCGGTCTCATCGGCAACAACGTTAACGGCATCCTGGTTTCCACTATCGTCAATTTCTCGCACGTCTAATACTCCTTTAAATTCCGGTACATACGGTCTGAGAACATCGTGCATTAATAATCGGAAACAGGCCTCTTCTTGCGGGCAAAGTTTTTTCAATATAGTTCCTGGTGTAGTTCCTGCTCGAAAATTGCCCTGATGACCTGCTAGTTGAACCTGTTAGTCAATAAGTATATTTTTCACAAATTAATTCGTATTTGACATCATTTTCTACTGCTAATTCAAAATTGATATTATGGTATGATACTGACCCAAGGATATCGTTGCTTTTTATAAGTTTGAAAAAACGGGGTCCACTGAACAATGTTTCTCAGTTTCCGCCATCCAGATGTCTGTAACAAAAGTGAAACGGAGAATAATCGACTATAAAAAGTTTGACTAAAATGAATAGTAATAGTATTTTTCCCATTGGTCGCGCGTAATACACACCAACTAAAATGTTCTCATTTACTACAGCATCGGTTAAACATTATAAAATTTGTAATTATTGCAGCTTGGGTGTAAGAAATAAAATGCCTGTATGAAACACTACCCGCACACAATTTTTCGAAATTGACCTGCCATTTACTTTTTTTTCGGACGAAACGCATGAGCCATACAAGCCATTATTCATCAGCGAAGTTCATTGATGAGTAATTAAAATGTGAAACAGAATCACACGACACGTCTATAATTCATATTGCTTAAAATTTACCTTAGGAAAAACATAGTCTCCGTTACCCCTCGAAGAGGAAAACGATTTACTATCAGCATAATCGGAGTCCCACTCGGAACTAAGGTCATCGCCACTTGCTTCACCCCATTCTAGTGGGTTGGAATTTAATTGTGGAACGGACAACAGTTGAAGATACTCCCCATATCCAGAACTATTTTCGATCGCTCGTGATTGAGCATCGTCGGTACCAATCGTGTTTTCTAATTGATTAGCAAGATCATCGTGATCTGCACCTTCATGCTGATGGTGCTCGTGATGATGTTCGATAACTGGTGGCGACGGACTGCGCGATGACGAGGAGGACAGACGGTCCGAGGAGAATGAAGTTCTTCGAGAATTGCGCCAGGATCGAGACCTCGTGATTCGTCTGTGTCTACCAAGTATTCTCCTCTCGCCATCCTTCTCATCGGCACCAGCCACGTTGCAGCCGTCGCTCAAGGCCGCGGTAGTATAAATTATTTTGGGTATCATTCGCTCAATGGTCTCTTGCATTTTTCAAATTCCAAAATTCCTATCGCTCTTCCTATTTTCTCTCCTCTCTGCTGTCTGATCTTTGCTCCTCTCCGAGATTTTGTCTTCGTCGTCAACAATTTATTGTTTTCTCAATGTTGCCAGCAATTTACAGCCTTTTCATTGGGGCGTTAAGAGTCGCTGCTTGAGGCACGTTTAATTGGGTTCGCGAGTTCACAAGTGCGCAGCGAAGCATCTGGAGGAAAGCGCGTGTGCCACTTTTATTCGCAGTTAACAGGTGCACCCAGTCTGAGACGGAGATCGAGATAGCTTCGAAGGCGTACACCCGCGTCTTGTATTACGTAAAGCAGGACCTTGTCTTGTGTATCATAAGGATTTGCTAGATTTACCGTAACTCACAACGACTTATCTCGCATCTGTCCTTTCTCGTTTGGTTCTTATACGATCCTTCACCGTCTCCATGGAAAGACATCCTTTGTGGGTTTATGCTTTTTGGCTTCTATCGTCTTCTTCTTTGTTACTCGTTTCACTAGTTATGAGTACTGCTACACTCACAGGGAAACCACACACATGCCTCGAGCGACGGAGACAAGTCTGCTCAACAGTTGGAAGTGCGTGAGCCAAAGACTGGATTTCGCAGAATGATTTTCTTTTTCGTGTCTAGACTGGAGTGGGAAGTGGCACACGATATGTTTACAGGCATTTACGCTTAGCGTTCCGAGTCGTCCCCGATATGTCGTGCGTTGGAAATGCGTCATCGACAGTAAACTAATTAACGTACATACATTATAAGTTCATCGGCGGTCGTCAATCCGCACCTAGTGCACTGCCGCTTCAAATAGGGGCCCGATACCTACGTGCATAGTTATTGTATATTTATATCCATACACTTATACCTACGTATTTATATAGTATGCGTGTTAATGCATATTCCTACATTGGTAATCGCTCGTATATGTGCATATGTTTTCACAAAAATGGGTATTATCAAAGAAACGCTGACGCCTTGCTTCGCAGCAATCGCTAAGGAAGTGTATGAACGTATATATACGCGTATTCATCGAAGTTTTCAATCAACTTGATTATTCGATGATGATTTCCCTCTTTCATTTCCTTGCATTAGATGGAGTCAAGCATATTAACACTAATATTCGAATAGCAACGCAGCTAGGAAAGGAAAAGATAATCTTATTAAGATAGTCTAATAAGATAATCTTATCTTTTATAATTATACATATATTATATGTATCATTTCAACAGCAATTATCCAAGCAAGTTTTCTATTATATTTTATACTCAATTCCCGTTATATTACAATGGAGTCGTAAAATTAACCGATCGTCAGATTAACCAACGGCGTGAATTTACTTTTTTAAAAGAAGGATCTCATGTATATTCGGGCTGTCATGAAATTTCATGATAATATATAAGTTTTATAAAGAATACTAGAAAAATGTTTGAAGTAAAACAAGCAAATAAGATGTGCACACATGCTACCTAATAGCCTAAAGTGGCAAATAATCGATACTGAAAACCTTATTTACATATACCTTATTCAAAATGTCTTTAGCGCAATATTACGTGACTCTTTTTAAATATACATTCATTTTGAAAAACTACGGACATACTTTTGTGCAAATAGGTGGCATTCAGAATGCGGTTTCTCCTATAACGCTCGACACTGTTCAAGCGCGCGCGTATTCATTATGGACGTTGAAACCAATTAGAACTTTACAAACGTCCGTGTCCTGTACTATTTCATATAAAATTGTTAAGTTATGAACTTAATATTCGGATGCCTCCGCTGAGGTATATTAATGGAATGTTCGTTAGGCAAGAGAATGAAAAATAAGTGACAACCAACGTATTGGATATCAGTGAATAACGTTAACACAGTTAATTACCGATTCCTAGTATTCAACTTATGTATTTTCAGTAGTAGGAACATATTTAAGATGTTTCCCGAATACTAATCTCTAGCAAAGCACAATCGAGAGACGATATTATGGAATACATGCGGAGAAAGCGTGTCAAAATGCAGATTATAATATCTATGCGTAACATTACGCTGACATTACTGAAATCAAATCGAAGTTTGGTAGATAGCTAATCGATTAACGCAATGAACTAGTGCGCGGCCCAAATTTCATTCATAGGGTTAGACATTTAGTGGAGAGGAAAAAAAAAGGAGAGCGATAACTAATAGATGCGGTGATTGAGCAATAATATCAAGCCTAACGGAACGGGGTAAATCGATCCGAGCGCCATGAGTGGAATTGAATAGAAGCGCATAATTTATTTCGCTGACTGGCGATCCACGTGTTTCATTTGACAACCGCAGTTTGCCAATGAAGTCCGATGAGAATCATTTCGAGGTCATGAAGTTTCCTGTCGTTCGTAGTGTCTCGATTTCGATTAGTTAGCCTATTCCATAGGTTGATGTAACAGATAAAAATAAAAGGGGACTTCCGTGCTAAAGTTTTAAATTTTTAAGTGGGACGAAATTCGATTAATTTCGCTGCCAACGGCACTGACACCTTTTTTATATTGCCCTTTAAAATTCGAATGGAACTTCGTATTAAGTAGAAGGAGGAGTTCCGGTGATTACCTTTTTACGTCCGACAGAGTTTGCATTTTGCTGATGTTTGTCGACGATCCCCAGGAGGCAATCGTCGCACTTGCAGTAGCGACTCGTTGACGAGGAATCAGCAGATAAGAGGGAACTGAAAGTGCTGACACTAGCTTGACTATCCATTGAATCAGTTCTAAATAGAAGTGCTCTCTTGGCTAGTAGAAGATTTCGATGTCCCTCGCGTTCTGATTCTTCAGACAAGCTCTGCCGCTCGATCTTCGCAAGCAGCAGCTGCTCCATCAAATTTAAGCTTGGGGATGTCGGGCTGGTTGGGGGTGTCGGAGATGCTGTTGCTGCCTTCGAGCCTCCCGAAATATCCATATTTTTTGTCGCTGCTTTTTCCATTTTCGCTTCTTCGTCCATTTTCTTCTTTAGTCTTCTATGTCGCATTCAGTCACTCCTTTATTTCGATAATTAGCATTTTCTTTAGTGAGAAAATAATATAATAACATTACTCCTCGTGTTTCTTTCACTGGCTATTTTTAATCTCTTAGGAAGGTTTGCTTCCTTTTTATAAAACACAGAACCAAACGTATGTCTATACGCACGTGTATTAAACCAAACAAATCTTCACATTCCGTTAAATCACCTTCCATTAAAACTTATCTCGACCACTTCACGATACAAATCATTTCTTGGAATCTTCGCAAGATATTTATACCGTAAAAGCCTTTTATAAACACTTCTTTTATAAGATATTAAATCTTTACCATCGGACCACTGACTTGCAACATTCGCAACGGGCAGCGTGATAGAGAAGCAATGAAAACATGATGGAAGGATTAATAATTTACTCGGAACTCTAAAAGTATATTGGACGTTGCTTCAAATTGGGCAAATTATGTTGCTGATGTCTCTTCACGTGATGGGATCCAATTCGCGTAATGTCTATTTAATTAAACATTTCGACATCCAAACATCCATAAGAGGAATTTGATATCCAGCCACTGCAGAGCATGTAAATCCGTCGATCATGTTTGACTTTGATCACCAGAGAATTGAATTAGTCAGAGAAAAGATATTTGAGATGCTATTTAGAAACTGTGACAGACGTGAAGAAATTGGATCTTCAAAAATACCGACTTCTCATCCCGTAGCTACTTCGTTTTTCGTCGAAATACTGAGCATTGGTACGCACGTATGAAAGATAAGAATGAGCGTTTTTCGCTGACGTGCTCTTCTTCTGTGTAATGTGTATTCTTCACGTACTCATAATCATCTCTTCAGATCTACGTGACATTTGTTGGCCCTCCTTTCCTCTATGGATGCAGACTGTAGACGGAACAGAAAAACTCAAAAGTTTCAACGAATCCAGCATGCGTTGTGAATATTGGCTGCGCATAGATTCATCCTCTCACCAATTTGTATACGGTATTTCTTTTGTGAAGAATTTTTTAGTTATACCACTTTTTCACTTTAAAACAAAACTTCTGGTACACAGATAACAAGTTCGTTCAAACTATTTAGTCGAGGAATAAACTGATAGAAAGGAGTATCATGGTAGGAAAGCAAGGATCGAGGAAGCACGATACGTTCTACGAGAGGCTGTCGCGTCCGACTGAGAGTCGACTACAGGAGATCGGACCTAGAACCAACTAAGCGAGTCAGCGAATGAGTGAGTGAGTGACTGACTGACTGACTAAGTGGCACAATGGTTGTGATTATTTAAAAGTCCACGAAAATTGACGTTCTCAATTTTACTCATACAATAGTTATACATCGCATATATTGAGTAATAAAGTATGTAATACAAGAAAGATTTTCAAAGACCTTCGACTGGGGTATTGGACATCGATTTAAAACTAAATAAAGAATTAAATAAGTACTTAAGCAATTAATTAATTGCCTCAGATTTATTAAAAAACTTACAAATAATTTACTTCTTAGTTGATGATATCCGAATTGCTAGTCCTCTCATATTTGCGTCTCCTTGGCCAATGGGTACGTGTCAATAATGAATAACGAGGAAACTAATTTTCTTCCTTGTTTACCTAATGTCGTGCTCTCTTCATGCTACTCACACGAGTCCATACACATTACTTTATCCACAGGACATTAATTAAAAAATAATAAGACTCTTATTATCTGACGAGAACGCAAAAGAAAGTCTTGCATAGAAATTTCAACAGAAAATTAAAGAAGAGCTCTATTATGAATTAACCACATGCATTTTCTTTGAGACACCTTAATAGCAATCCTCTCAATATGTCTAATTGTAAATCTGTTTTAGTAATAATTCATGAGAGCACCATAATGAAACTCAAACAAAATATAAGCTCCTAACTCTATTTTTGACACACTATGTACATCGCATATACGAACACGCGGTGGTACACATGGCTGTACACGGTGTCCCAGAAAATACACACTCAATCACATAGTACTATGTTACGACATAGGTGTGCTAACGCAGCGTGCTTACGCGTGTTCATCCATGTGTCCGATACATTATCCAAGTGTCTGCGCAGAACAGCTTGGTGGGGGTATAACCTGGAATTCCAGAACTGCCAGTAAGCTTACTATGAATGCGTTATTTCAAATATTTCAGTTCAAATGGTAGAATTTATATACTCTACAGAGATATTACATTTCATTTATAGATATAAAAAGTAACAGATTGATTATGAGAAGAGATAAACAAGAAGCAAGCAGAAATACCGCGAAAGGTACTTTCGAGTAGAGAGGGATTGATTGCAGCATTCTCCTTTTCTCTCTTATTCCTATTACTTCTGAATAACCATATTTTTGTTACATTTAAATTCTGGACCACAGTTTTTCAGGAAATTTATTAATCTTTAAAGGACCGATAACGCCACTGTATTAGCGCTAAAAAAACACTTGCGACTTTTCGGAACATGTAGATTATTTATATACATGAAATTCCAGTAAAAAAAGATCTCTTTTTTTCATAAAAAATTGCCGGTACCATGAAGGTTTAAAGGCTCATCCATTAAATAGTTATGTATATTGAATAAATGTAAAAATATATAATTAACCAGCATTTCCAGTCCGAAAAAATATAATAGATTCAGATGTGACAGAGCTGCATGGTATGGTTATATCTGGGGTTTACGAAACTCTTTAATCCTTTACAAAGATTACTCGTATTATTCTTTGCATGCTATTAAAACTAAACGAGTGTTTCTATATATATTTTGTCTTGCTAATCGTCTCTTTTGTCTCTCCCTTTTGCAAGGATACGTAAGTGGATTCTGTGTGTATCTATATAGATTGAGATCTAGGATATGAATACCTTTTACATTCGCAATGCGTGTATTATCGAGTAGACGCAATATGCTAATGATTATATGTATAGAGGTAAATAACTGCGCGTGAATATACTCATTTCGTGTTAATATGTAGGTAACAAAAAATATAGAAGTGCTTTCATCTACATGTATTTTTTTGCACTATGGAAATATTCGGAGGCATCCGTATTTTTTAGGTTGGTTTTTACACTTCTTTTGCCCTTTGTAATAATTACTGTTGGTAAAACAATGATAAACAGTAAATGATAAGTACCATATAAACATATGGTAATTGGTAAAGACAATTTCGATCTGATTCTGCGACAACGCCCACCAAGCAGGGTCGGTTTGTATAGTGGAAAACTTTCGTTTGTCTGCCTCAAGCATTAAGTCTTTTTACGTCTCAATGGAATGTTCAAGTAGTATACTAAAAAAAATCGGAAGTCTACAAAGAATAAAAGAATTCGGAATAGCATTTTCTCAAAAATAAGGTTAGACCCGCTTTAAAAAATCAATTAAAACCGATTGAAAATTGTTTGTCGAAAGGATTGAGACTTTTTCAATAGAAGATTATTGTCAAATCTTATAGGCATTTATTACGGAAAATGAGTGAAATTTCCCTTATTCCAATTAAATATTCATTGTTTATAGGATAATCACCAATAAAATCATATTGGATACAGCACAACGTATTCATTTCGAATCATTTTCATTCGGAATAAAAATACCTTCGATTGAATCTGATTGTAATTGAATTGGATATCTATCGATTTCTATTGACTTTAATCGAATTTCTTAAAGAGGGATGTCCTTTGATAAACTGTTAATGTATAATTAACCTATGTTACGGTCTCACAAGATTCAATTTACAAAAGATTAATGAAAGTGTCACAAAAATAACAAGTAGTCAATAGAACTCGTTAAATTTACTTCGATGATCTACGAGCAGGCCATATGAATATAGTATGTGCTTCCGCACGAGCCCATGAGACTTGTTCAGTTACAACTTACGATATCTACTGCTGTGATACTTGCTACGAGAGAGTGTGTTCTCTTGCGCGGGGAAACAAAAACAAAAAAAGGAAAGGGAGATCAGAGAGAGAAAGAAAAAGACAAAAAGAGTTAGGGCAAACGCGGTAAGCAGTTTGCTGGATATTCACTCGCGTATGTATAATTGGACCCAACCCAACCAGTTAAATACTACACATTCAGATTAATACTTTATCATACTATTTATAATTTTTGTATATCTATAATTAAATAAAATCTTTACCGGAAGATAATAATAATGAAAGCGAGAACATTAAACTTGCCATTAATAAAATAAGCATTGGATGGTTCTCCAAATAATGTGATCGTCAAATAAAAATAAAAATAAGAATGTCCATTTACATTTCCAGATTAGAATGAATCCGTGATGTTCTTGTTTAGTACAAATAATAGTAACAAGCAATACGTAGGATCCTGATTTTCACCAGAAGTCTATTAGGATTAGAAATATTATTTTTTTAATCCTTTAGGGAAAAAAACGCTTCAGACAATAGTCAAATAAATTCATCAGTGTATAATATGAATTTTAGCATGTATTAAATTGTACGACTGCGAATGCAGTTTTTATTTTTTGACCATGACAGACTGTATGAAGAAAACAATGCTTATATTTGATATACACGTAGAAATCTGGATTTATAAATAAAATACTGCAATTCAATGTATACTTTCATTACGTTCGTTGAATTATAAGTTACAGACTGGTTTGGTTGGATGGAATTTTATACCAAATTCGCCAAATTTGTATTAAAAGAGTGGTTGTTACTGAACAATGCAAATCTGCTGATAACGATGAACGAGTGCTGTAAAATATTTTAAAAGACTGTTTAGAAAATATTGAAGGACAGTTAAGTAAACTGTATGAAGAAAAGTATATAAGTATTATTAAAGTAAACAGAGAAATGGATGTCTTTCTATGAATAGTCTGACAACCAAGAATCATTGAAGAAGATCAAGAAACGCTAAAAATATTTTAACTTCTGACATAAAAAAGATAATTCTAACGCAGAACGACTTACCTTCTAAATTAATCTCATACAAATTTAATGCTATTTCTGGCCTTAAGAATATTCTACTGAAACGTATGAATTTTACTCGAGTAAACAGAAAATTTTCATATAATTTAAAAAGAATTTGATATTCTGATCATAATCTTACTATGTTATGACATTTCACATGAATAATTATTTTTAGCACATGTATCAATATGAAGACAACGACTTTTGTATTAAGAATATAATGCTCTCACACGTTTCATGCCTAATTAGACATGATACGATTTACGTAACTTTTCAAATTTTAAAGCCCATCATAATATCCTGTTGAACATCTTTATAAAATAGTCAAATTCGTATAATTTTATAATAGCGGTGTAACATTACATACAAAACTCTTAATTTCTAAACTCAAAAATGAAGTATGATCAATAATTGTTAATCATCATTTATATAATGCAAAATAAATTGTTAGGTGCGTTATCGATTGAGATACACTGTGCAGAGTTTCCAGAATATACTACTAGATGGCGATCTGTTTTAATACACACAGGGAAATGAAATTACTCACCCGTGTAGGCCTAACTGGCAGTAGCTCAGTGACTTCAAAATCGTCTCCACTGAGGCTGGAGTTGGTTGAGCAATCAGAAATCTTGCGAGGGGGTGGTAGTTCCAAGAGATCAATTGTTGTCCTATCCTGCTTCTCCAATAGTTCATCTTCATTGTTCCTTAATTTCAATGAATTCCACTGCGGGGAGTAAGAACTTGGAGATGCCAGGCAGGAATTCCGTCTGTTTCCATCCATGTTAACATTTCTGGCACAGCAAGCATGTCGTGCTTGATTATGGTGCGTTTATAAACCTCTAATAACAATCTTATACATTATAAGGAGGTAGCGATTTCTAATAAACCATTATTCTCCAACAAAATATGTAACGTAGATATATACCTTTCAGAGGCACTATTTGTTGAACTTATGCAGAGGTAGCAGGAATCTGAGTGACGCCTGTGACGACATATTTGCGGAAGTTTGCTATCTTGTAATAACAAGATGTCATTGAACTCTTTAAATTCGTCACAGTCCAAACAGGAGCAGCTACTGGCCTGGCTTGGTGTTCTGCTCTTGTCAGTAAATTTATCTATATCTAGATTACTTCTTTCAAATTTCTCATCCAAATAGGAATAGTCAGAGTAATCACTGACTACAACACTTGGTGTCCTCCAAAATCTTGGCTGACCCTCAGTAAATTCATAGTCTCCATTTTCTCCCAAGTTAGAATTTTCCCAGCCTGTGAATTATTCATTTACTAATATCCTAGCTGTTCATTGTATAATTTTAAACTTACCTTTGTTATGATCCTCATCGCTGAGAACAGCACTGTCAGAACTGCAACATCTAGATACTTGAAGTTTGTGTTCCATTTGTTGATCCGCATTTCGTAAGATATCTTCTTCACTTGGTGCAGCAGAATCTAGGCTCCAACATCGACGAAAAGAATTGTTTCGTGGGATTGTATCGGGCTCAATGCCTTCGTCGCTTTGAGAACTTTTACTGTAAGACCGTGCTACGGCCATCTTAGCTACATTAAATTCAACTTGTTCCTTCGCTTCTGCTAGATCACAAGTATCGTCTAGCATTCTGTCACGATTCACTAAATTTTTGGATTTCATTTTAAAACCGTTAGAAGCCTCATGTTCATGCCAAGTATTTCTCTCCGAGAGAAGTTCTGTGAATCGATGAATGAGATCCCGAATTGGAGAAAAGATAGGGCACTGTTCGTTTTCGTACTGATTTTCGACAATTCCAACACGTCGTTTTCTGAACAATTTTGTCTCTGAAGGTAATAATAAAGTCGATGATGATTGAGTAACTGTCTCAGAGTTAATCCTGTTAGAAATGTTCTTAAACCTTCGATGTTGAAGTTGGAAAAATTGTTCTGCACTTTTTTGATTGATGAAAGAGCGTCTCGTGGTGTATGAATTACGATATCCAAAAAGATTAATACTTAATGTATACGCTCTGCGGAATGTCTTTTTAACCGACCGGCAATTCGAAACACGGGACGCACAGCGCGCACGAACACCACGCCGAACGTGTTGACGACCATTACGAACCATGGAAACATTAGATGGGACACTCGATTTGCTTTTAAGCTTTGCCTGCCCCACCAGTAGCACTACTTTTTCCTTTGTTAATCGAAATCTATTTGATCCTCTAGTATCTTTTTTATCATCAGTGGCATTCCTTTGAACCATTGTGACTTCGACTCTCCCTCGTAATGATTGTTCATTATTATACAAAGATGTTGGGGTCTGTTGGTGGTATCCATTTTTGCTCATGGCTTTATATGTCGAATATATTTTTTCTTTATTTTCCGACCAAATTTAGTAAGGAACAAGATCCAATTCTTTTCACTTTCAGAAAAAGAAAAGTCTTCCACAGAAACGTTTTGCTGAAAAATGAGTAAAGAAAAGATATAAACTAATAATAATTTCGTTAAATAATGCTCTTGTATATCGAGTAGTAGGTAAACTCTTTCAAATAAAAAAATTTAGAACTCGTGACACACATTCAATATATTTAGACTCACACGACATGTGTACATACAGGATATTAAACGTGGAAAGCACATATCATAATATGAGAATCCGCATCATATACTAAAGTTTTTCTTTTAAATCCATCGGTCAAGATTTATCATTGATAGATTGGATCAAATGGCAAGTAGGCCATTTGATTTTCTGAATATTCGTCTATCTCGAAAGTGCTGGAAAGACTGTTCAAATTTACATACTTATACCTATGTATGTCTTCTTGTGAAATATAATATAGTGCCCTGCTCGTCCAACATAAAAGTAAAAAGAACGAGTTATGAGGTAGGCTACATCATCGGCTACATCACGGGCTACACTTCCTCCTGGTCCGATTGACGTCATACGTGCGTCAGTCAAGTTAAAGAAACAAGAAAGTTTCGATTGAATGATCACACCTGCCTCATAGCCATTACTGGTTGCTATCGTTAATTCTTTTCTAGCTTTGACACTCGCCCCATTATCTCGTCAATGTAAATGCCCCCAACCCCCTCACCATTTGAGCCCATCTAATGCTCGGACTATTTTATCATTTAAAGTAACTAACTGGATAATATCAACATGAATATATAATATCTTAAATTTAGAGCTCCTCCCTTTGTATAGCTCCAGCAAACACAAAGTAATAGTTATAAATGTTATATCCCTAAGTAGGACATTTTACCATTGCCGATATTTAAATGTTACAATGCGTTTGCTGGGGCGTTAATATGATCACGTTGATTTCATCAAATCAATGCAGGTAGAAATAACTGTTTTCATGTGTCCCATTGATACGAGCTATTATCGAGTATATGATAGCCTTAAATTTTCTTTTATGTAGAAATTCGCATCACGAAATATTTTCTACATCGAAATTCTTTACGCTTTATTATGATGCTATATGGCGTATCATGCTGATTAACTATTATGTCAAAATTGATATGAGTTTAAGTAAAGATAACTAAAAATGATGACATTTAACAAGTGTAATTATCTTCTTCGTATATTAATATTAATGAAGTAATGTTAAATCTGATAAAATTTTGTTGCTTAAGCGCCCCCCTTGGTTACTTTTAACAGTCGTTCCACTTCATCATGTCCTGTGACCTTCGTTGAGTCTCAACCTGATCAAAAGGTCATGGTTTTTCATATCGTCGGAAGTAAGCGATTAAACGCATGCGCAACAACAGGCTAACTATGTTCCGTCACGTCTGAACGATTCTCCGTAATAAATAAGCTTCCTTTTTAGTAGTAGCATACTCTCACTTTATCACATGTCCATGCCATATAGAAGATAAACTATATATGGCACAGGTCCCCCCATTAGAGATACATCTATAAGGAAAGGAAGGAAGGAAGATAGAATATACATAAATCAAAATTCCCCGCACATCTCCTCATTGCAGGAGGCAGCTATAAGGAAAGGAAGGAAATCAAAATTTTTTAAAACCTCATCGTCAAATAAAATGAGCTGCTCTTTGTATCATAATATGCATAACTTAGTCTTACATGTGTATGTCATTCTGCTATATTTATTCGTGACTCTTCCTCTTTGTAAAATTATAAAATTCTCTTTCAATACAAGAAATGGTTCATTTTTCATTATTGCATGTTAATAAGAAACAAGACACTCTTTTCACGATGGTAGTTATGAATAGATATCTATCGGTGCAATAGATATCGTCTGAACATGAATTTTGAGAAGTTCCACTTGTCAATAATATGTAAGGTAAGGTATAGATGTCTCAAAAGAATTCAAGTAAATAGTGGAGAAGAAATTTAGGAGAGATGGAGGTTGATTTGCAATGGAATCAGGTCAATGTCGCATGAAGGCGACAGCGGCACCGCTCGCGTCCTAGATTGGCCATTGTACTTATCATATAGTCAAGCCCCTCAACACTAATGATCCTTCCCTTCAGCACTTTTGCAACGCAAGCCTTAACCGATATTTCCACCTCTCTGTTAGTGTTCTCCGAACCTTACTGGTTGACCATGCCTATAAGCGCATGCGCTTTCTAAAGTATTTTGACTCAAGTACACGCACTCAGTATACATACGAAAAGGGAAGGGATGTTAACTATTGCGAAATCTCGTTCACAGATCTGTTAACTATTGAGACGCCTGACTGTACATATTTTATATTTGAATAGTTAAAACCCGAACTAACTTTCGTTTAGTATTTTCATTGCTAGATACACATACATACCTAGCAAACAAAATACTCAAGTCAAATTATAATTTCATAATATTCTGATATCTTTCGAAATTTATTCGTTATTGAGAAATGGTAATCAGTTCATATTTGCGTCATGTAAGCATAAGATATAGAGAAGTACATTGGGTAATACAAAATAATGTTCAAAAGATAGTTCATTGCGTTGTCCCTAAATTATTAACACTAATTATGGCAAGAAGAAAATATTAGACATTATAAAATGTATTATACCATCGAATCATAATGTTTTCAAATAACTTAATAACTGTCATGTCTTACCTCTCCATTTTATAATAAAATTGTGTATCTTATTTTTGTTGAATGTAAATCGTATTGTCGGTATATACAAATTTTGGAAGAAAGCTGAATCGTTTTCAGTCACCACCAAATCACAACCACTTCGCGTCTGCGCGGGAAAATAAATATTTTAAGGAATATTGGACTTACATTCCAGTTTACTAGTTTAAGGATTAATATATACGTATGTTAATAGAGTGACAATAAGGAGAAAACAGATTCTTTCCGAGTCATAGACGGTGACTGACTGAACTCATGACGTGAACTTGATCGGTACACAGTGGCTTCTTGGTACGCGTGACGGTTAGCGACTTCGAGAGGGGCGAGGATTGTTTCATGTCGGCCGTTAGCAATCTGTTTGACAAAACGTCCACTTACCATGACTGTAATGGCTTACTGTGAAAAGGTAAATGATTAATCTATGCCCGATTCAATTAGCATTCAATGGTAGTAAGCAATTGCTGCAAACGGCACTTTGCTACTGCGTGATGAAAGGATTAACTCAAAAGAAGACAGTATTGAAGGTTGTTAGCTACAGTCAGCTATATATAAAATTATCGCTTATATCAATTGTTTTTCTTACTGTTATACTGATTTTTAAGAATAAAAAGTGCCATAACATAATACCTTTGACCTTGTTGATTCATAGCATATTTTTTGGTTATGAAATGTTTTTTAGAACACTTGGAAGGAACTCACTTTTCAAAATGCAACCTATTTTGCACTCCTGCATATATATTGAATATGAAGACACACACGTTTTTTTGAACACATTTCAACGTGACGTTTTATTGATAACTTAAGTACGATCCTGCAACTATTCTCCTTATCACCATTATGATAAACACACTCTGGGTAAACATAAACATAATTTGCTTACTTCAGCTGATTAAACTTCATTGATGAGAACTGAAATAACTTGAGATTTTGGTGTTATCTTTTAATAATGTTTAATAGTTCTAAATAAACTTATCATAGTCTGAATGAATTACTGTGTACTTTTCTCTGAGTAATTCTATAAAAAAGCAACTTATACTGTGAGGTATTGACTTTAACCATTTGAAATATCTTCTAAAGGATTAGTTAGAGAATAATTATCTAGCAAAAGTTTCATAGTATGGAGTTGGTTTTAATGATTTTCATAATGCTCAAGGCAGTTCAATGACTTAGATGGATTCTAAAATTTGAATAAAATTTACAGTATTGTTCTTAAGATGTTCAGAATTAAAGTATCCATATTAGGAAAAAGATAATAAGTACTAAAGCTTAAAAATTAAAATGTACAATTAAATTTTTACAAAATTAATAAACACTGAAATATTGTAATGTTCTAATTCGCGACAGTGAATACTTGTCAGAACGTGTGCTTTGATAAATTTTGAGGAATGTCAAAGATTATCAAGGGCAAGTGAATCAATAATTCAAAAATTGCAATGTTGCATTGTTGTTAATAGTCATCATGTTTAATAGCCATTGTCAAAGTAAGTTTTAGTATTCTTTTTTTTTCTTATATACGACCTTAAACAATCTTATTGAACTCATTTAAAGTGCAGCTATGATAGTACGGAAAATAAATAGAAGCATGTTAATCCATTTAAAAAAAATTAAAATGACTAGTTTTCCAAGCACCTTTAAATGTGCAAAAAATCATTAGCATCATTCGACAGACCTCTTTAGACTGCAATTTTCATTAGAAGGAATTTTCCTGACTAATAGTATCAGGGATATTCCAGGCGGTCAAAGTTATTGCCTCACCCGGTACATTATTAAATTATAATATGAATAATATTATGATATATTATTGACGTCTCAAGTTTATCAGCATAAAAAATAATTTATTTATTCAGGTAATAATTTACTACAATACCTCATAACTGGCTATGTCACTATACTTGCCTTGTTCATCGGCCAATGGCATACAAAATAAATTCGGCGCGGGGGAACCTTGTGGTTCTTTTATACGTCGTAACCACTCATTTATTTTGATTACAGTATTTAAATGTTTAAGAGTCTCTTCAATGTACGGTTTGGTTACGACTATTGTTCCTTTTGTCATCGTCGTTCGAAGAAACTGCCATACTTGTATTTGTTCTACCTCAGATAGGTAAAACTCAAAGACGTTATTAAGAACAATAACGTCAGCTGATTTTATTGTATCTGGAGCATCTTCAATTCGCTTATGTAAAATATCAATTCGATCTTGCATATTATATTTGTGTACAATTTTAGATTGAAGTTCACAAAAATCTTTATTCATTTCCACTCCAATTATTTTTTTAGCATCTGTGTACATATAGGCCTGCAAACAATGTAAGTGATTTTTAACTTTTCATGTGCTTTACTCCAGTTTAATTTTTACGTACTATTCAATATAATAGCATAAGTATGATAAAGAAATAATAGACATATGATTAGTAGTTTTACCTACTGATATTATACAGCATATATTTCCACCATGCAGGAATCAAATAGAGTTAACCAATCAAGTTAGCTTATTCCGCTCAAATCTCGTTTTTAACTGGTTAACTCTATTTCAACCCTACAGTAGAAACATATACACAGATTATTAGAATCTTACATAAGTAACAATAGATCAATTACTAACATTAATGTATAATATAAATAAGTTACATGTGTAGCATATTCACACATGTTTACAATGTTTAAAATGTACTTCTTTAGTTGTAGAAATGCTTACCCCATACAAGACAGCACCTAATCTTGATCCTATATCTAATATAGTTTTATCTTTCAATATTGGCAACAGATGGTTAAATATATAGTGTAAAGCATCTTGTGATAATGAATGCGAAATATAAACTGAAATGAAACTTTAGTAAATACATTGATGTAAAACCAAGTATCTTGGGAAACTAAAATTTTTAAGTATATTTACTTAGGGATTTAATATTTTTAGAGCCACAATTTTTACAATAATATTGCTGTAATTTCCCAGCATTCAAAAGTTCCTCAATGTCATTATCGTTATAAAGAAATTCATCAACGTGTATTGTTATATTGGGATCACAATCTGAATTCTGTGAAACAGTTTTGTGTATTAAATCAAACATTAATAGAGATTAAGGTTTACATACTTCGCCCGATGTTGGCAGATTCAATCTTTCTGATGGAAAAATGGCATTAAATGGCACTCTCTCTTTAATGTCTTTGACAATTGAATTAAGAATTGTAATAGGACCTTTTATTACATCACTGCAGATACGACCATTGGAATTAGTAACGGCTATAAGAAAAATTTATATACTTAATATTTGCCATAGATCTGACATAATTGAAGTAATTAGTATAAATGTAAACTATAGACAGTCGACAAGTTTGATGTGTACTTTTGACAGATCAAAAACAATGAAGTCTCTAGCAACCAACACCTGGTTTTGAATAGAATTTTTTTTCTACAGAACGCATGTACAGGGCTTTACACAGAATTAGTTTTTATTTTTATATTTTAGCATGTTTCCGTAATTTTATTATAATCCATATGTGATTTGTTGAAGGTTTGCAGTGTTTGCAATCCATAAAACACATTAAACTCGTGGACTTACAGTACATACCGGGAGTGAACTGTTATTTATCTTACCATTGAGCTCATTAAATGATAATTGTGGAAGCATAAATAAAAGGGTGTCCTGCCAGTCTTTTTTATTTAGGTGCTGTAATAATTTTTTTATATGAATTTTTGCTTCGTCTGAAGCAATAGAACTATCATCGTACATTTTACACTTTTTGACTTCCATTGCGACTAATTACGACTGATTACGACTCTGTTGATTTTAGTCATAGAGGGCCATGTGACATCCAATCGTCGCTAGAGCAGAGATGAGTGGGGAGATGCACAACGCTCCGGTTTTAGGCAGAGATGAGTGGGGAGATGTACAGCGCTCCGGTTTTAGGCGATACCAAAAGCATGGCGCTAAATCGTAGCGGCGAGTCTGGGAGTAGGATTTCGTGATCATCGCCTCTGTCGATGTTACAGATTTCGCGTAGCCGCGTGGGTCATGATCATCGTTCCAGCCGATATTGCAGTCAGCGAAATGAATGGATTGCTCGGTGGTGGGGAAAAAGTTGCCGCCCGTCACAAATCGTTCTTGACAAACAGGCGGGGGAGCAAGATCTTCCATCCAACCGAAACCTTAACATTTGTATGGACGTAATGCGCAAACAAATGTGTATATTCAAATAAATTTGAAAGTTATAAAAAATGCATAGAAACATTGGTTTTCACTCTTTACCTCTTATCATGCCGAAAATTAACATTAAAAAATGAATAGCGAAATTCGTTGGTAAATGAAACGACCGAGAACAGTTCAAAGAGAAATTTTGAAATATCATAGCTAAATATCTATAGAAAATTTAATTTAGAATTAAACGAGCATCGTGGCTGAGTCAATAACCTATCAAGGTTCCTCTCTTTTAACCTTTCTAGGTTGCCCAAAGTTTATTTTATTCTCTTTTGTTCGTCCACGTGGAGAAGGGTGGCGCGAAAGTTCTTAACTAGAGTGCATCTTCATATTATTCTGTTTATATGTAAAGTAAGCGAAACGACAATAGTAAGCAGTTGAATAAACGATGAAATTCTAGAAATACAACTTTCGAAAAAAGCATAAGAAACATATGTTTCTGGCGCCTGGCTAGTGCACCCGGTTTCGAATCGGGGTTCTTAACTGGTGTGCATCTTCATATTATTCTGCTTATATGTAAAGTAAGCGAAACGACAATAGTAAGCAGTTGAATAAACGATCAAATTCTAGAAATACAACTTCCGAAAGAAGTAAAACATACAGATGTGTCTGGCGTCTGGCTAGTGCACCCGGTTACGAATCGGGAAGTCTATGGTTCGAGACCCCTCTATGGAGAGCACTTTCTTTTTACAAAAAAAATGTGT